ATAAAAAAATTAAAAAAAAAAAAAAAAAAAAAAAAAAAAAAAAGAAAGATTAAAAGTGTAATAAAAAAAATAAAAAAAGATGAATGTTAAAAAAAAGAGAAAAATAGTGTATGTTAAAAAAATAAATTTATAAAATTATAATAAATAAATATAAAAATATATTTATAAAAAAAAAAAAAAATAAATGTAAAATACAAAATATGAGTAAAGGAGTAAAAGAAGATATAATTATAAAAGTTGTGAATTATATCTTTTTTTTTTTTTTTTTTTTAATAAGCACATGTTAAGAAAAAAAAAAAAAAAAAAAAAAAATTTAAATAAAAAAACACAATGGTACTTTTATATAGAAACAGTATATTAAGAAATTTGTTAAAAATAAATAATAGAATTATAATTTATAATAAATATTTAGAGAATGTAAATATATGTAGTATGATTAAAAAGAATTATGGTATTTCAACAAATCAAATTACAAAAGATATTAGTAATGAAGAAATAATTAAACATATGAAAAGCGAATATGATATTAACTCGGATTTAATTGATTTAAATATAAAAAAAACTAATGAGAAAGATATTTATGAAATAAGTAATAGATGGAGTAGTTTCTTTAAATGTGAAAAAAGTTTATATAATATAATAAATAAATACTTAAAGACAAACAAGATTGATAATTTTTTACATAAATATTTAAATTTCATGAATAGTGATGAATTAAAAAAAGTAGAGGACTGTAAAAATAAAAATAATTATGAAACAGAAGAAGAAATTAAAAATATATTAATATATATAATGGCTTTTTATTATAAAAATGTTCGTGATTTTAATATAATATCTTTATTAAGTGAAAATTTAATAAAGTTACTAAAAAAATTAAATTCTGATTATCAAAATAAGCATTTAATTTTTACAATTTTCGAAGTATATAATTATATAAATGCTATGAACGATGAGTTATTTTCTATTCTTTTTGATATATTAAATAATTATTATGTAACCTCAAAAATAGAAAATATAAATGATGATGAAATTTTACTTATTTTAAAGACGCTTTATAATCAAAAGTATAAAAACCATTTGATAGTTAACCAAATTATAAATTATATAAAAAATTCTTCTAATTTAAATTCAGATATTTTAGTAAATTCTTTTTATTATTTATCTTTACTATCAAGAATGGATATTCCTTTAATTAATAAAATTCATACTCATATATTTTATGTAAATAACGATAAAAAAAACCCACAATGTATTAAAGAAAATAAAGGAGAACCTATTAAAGAAAAATTCTCAAATAAACTAGAAAGTGAAGATGTCATAGAAAAAAATAATAAGAAAGAAAATATTACGAATAATATAAACATAGAAAAAAAAAAATTGGAAAATGAGAATAAAGAAACAGAAGAAATTGATTTAAATAATATTGATAATTTTGATGATATAAAATTAAAAATAAATTTATCAGCAAGTTGTTGTTCAAAATTAATATATGCCTATTTTGCTTTGGGTGAAGATTACATAAATTGGTTTATCATTTATAAATTACTTTTAATACTTTGTGAAAATTTAAAGGATGAAAACATTTTAAAAAAAGAAAAGAAAATGCATGAAAGATTATGCGTTATCAGGAGTTATTTAAGATATTCTAAAAGAAATTTTTATAACAGCTTACCAAAAGATGTAAGAAAAAAGTTAAAGGAAGTGTGTATTTTGGATAATAATGAAAAAAAAGTGAATGAAAGAAATTTTGTAGAAAAATTATCATGGCATTTAAAGAAACTTCGCATTCCGCATATTAAGAATGCATATAAAGGAGGAATCATATTTGATATATTAGAAAAAGATCAAAAACTAGTGTGGTTATGTTTTTCATATCACCATTATTACGTAAAAACAATTGATTTAACTAATGAAAAATTGTTACATATTAATATAATTAAATCGATGAACTATAAAGTTGCAAAAATACATTACTACCAATTCTCTAGAATGAAAGCTAGAAGAACTAGATTTGAATATATAAGAATGTGTAGATATTACACTTTACGTGATAGAAGAAATTTTGATGATGAATTTGAAGGATGGAACTTACCTTACATTAATTGGTATCATAAAAAAAATAAAAATATTCATATATCAAATTATTTTTATAATTATAAACCAATATCAGAATTGAGTTATTAGAACTTACAAACTTTTTTAAGGAAACATGTTTTTATTATATTTAATTTTTAGGAATTTTCCTTTTGTTTTTTTTTAAAAAAAATTTACTTACAATCTATTAATGAACTTTGTTTTCTAATCATACTTTCATTTTTATAATTTCATTTCGTTTTTTTATATTAAATTTATTTTATTTTATTTAATATTTTTATTGCTTTTTAATTTTTTCTTTTTTTAATTTTTACTATTTTATCTAATTTTGCTCTTTTTTTTTTTTTTTTTTTTTTTTTTTTTTTTCAAAAAGT